TCAAGCCCATTTATGAGAAGCACATCAGAAGAAATATTTTCAACAGGTTTACGCCATTGCGATGTACGATTTACCAACTCTGACCCTCAATGACCAGAAACATTATGCGCCAATTGTGAGAGGATATAACTTTCAAAATATTATGGAGGAAGAGGGCTTATCTTGTAGAGTAGGTTTGGTTGAATGAGTAGAGCTGCTCCAATATCAGATGGATGTTTTAGGCTATTCAGTTCATGACCACGGGTTTAGTGTTATTTATAGAGGGTTCTGAAGATACGCTAAGCACACGAGACTGCTGCTAGAATTAGAGAATTCTGTTTTATTTCTTCCATATGGTCGAATGTTAAGAGTATTAATCTAGAAGGGTAGTGGCATTGATCCCGTAAGAGGTAAGACTACACTTAAGGTGATTGTTAAAGCCCACTTATTCATAATGGGGCCATCTACAAGAATTCACCTTCGCTCATCGATAAAAAATTTCATCCATAAAGAAAATAGTGTACATAATCTAAATATCTGCACGGTAAGGAATATCACCCTGGGAAGAATCCATGATATAGCTACTTTTTCCTGTGGCTCCCTCAAACTCATAATATACCCACCCACCCTTCTTCTTCTTGACGGAAATATCATGGCCCACAACAACACCTGGGTACGCACCTGGGAACGACATCATAATCCCACAGATAACCACCATAGCCCCGTCCAAAATAAGGAAATATGGTTCATGAACCTTCAAGTATCCGGTCCACCCTTGTGCGTACTCTGCAACTTTGAAAATAGCACGCACATACATGCAGATAATCCCTACCGAGGCATAACGCGGGAACATCTTCATGGCGGAGGTTCTACTCAAGTGTTCGTATGTCGGTTCATAGCCGGGTTCTGCTAGCTTAGAGGCCTTATGGACGCGCCAGAAGAAGATCAGCCAGAAGGTAATAAAAATGGATAACGACAACATCTGGATAACAAGACCCGCAACCATGAGGCTCGTACCAGTATGAGTGGAATGACCCCCGGAGATGGCAGAATAAGTGATCCCAACACCCGCTGTCAGGAGAATTACGGTCAATAAATCACTGGTGATGAATATTTGGGTGTAGCGCACGTGTTCCAAGACGGAGAACTGTTGGCCGTAGACCATTACCAGTATATCCATGATACAGTAAAAGGCAGCCAAGA